TCTCCCTAGTATTTACTTCCTATTTTAATTATACAGTCTGTAACATCTTCCTATTTTAATTATACAGTCTGTAACAACCAACAGCCCCTCAAGGCCCTGGATTACCTTCACTGCTGCCATCAAAATTGAGTTCGATAAAGCCTGTGCAAGGTGGAGACCAAGAAGTTTGAGCAATGCTTCTGCTTGGAGCTGAAGCTGCTACTTCCTGCCAATTATTCAAAATGGTCTCTGTGGGAATGTCAACAAACATCTTCACTGTTTTTATCCAATGGGCCACCCTAAAAGTAATCACTTCTATGATTTCCTCTCAACTTTTCTCCTTTTCAGCAAATATTCTTTGTTACCTATCTTCCCAAATTGTCCAACAAGCCACTGCTCTAGTACACCCCCTCAGGAATCTTCCCCTCTTCTTAGTCCAGCTACCGACAAAATAGTTGAAGAGGTGTTGTATGCTTGATGGGTGAGTCCACCTGCAACCGAACAGAGAAACCAACCCAAATAGAATAAACAATGGGGCAGGAGATTAATAAGTGGTAACAAGATTCACCATTGACTTTGCAGAGTACACCAGTTAGGAGACAAGCACCAAAAAGGCTTCTTTCTTTGAATTTGATTGCAAGTGTTAATTCTTTTCAAAGCTATTTCCCAGCAAAGTGCCCCAACCCTAGGTGGAATCGGTTTCCCCCACACTTCTTTAGCAGGAAAGGGAAGTCCAGGACTATGAGAAGGTTATGGTAGTTGAACAAGGTGAAGAAGTTAAAGCACAAGGTACAAATGTGTTGGATATGGCAGAAGAGATTATTATGGAAGTGACTTATCAAAAAAAAAAAACTTAAGGAAGCGCATCAAATTTTACTACATAAGTTCAGCCAGAGCCAGTGCCAATTTTGTACAGTGAGATGGTGATTCCTATGCTGAATATTAAAGGCAAAGTTTCATATGTTGCAATTGAAATTTCACATTCAAAGGATTATGTAAAGGAACAAATGGAAGAATCAAAAGGTTCTTTTCTAATGATTTAGTGAAGAAATCTATGGGTGATATCATTTCAGACATGCATTGCTCTGAAGGTTCTTTGAGTCATATACAGGAGATCCACACTAGAATCCAAGCTTGTTGAAGCTGCTTTAGGAATTTTCATGATTATGGTTCATTCTACCATTAGATTGAGCAAGACTTAATGCTCAAATTCTTTCAAACTCAATTGTGAACCGAGGGAGAACAATGCATGAACCAAAGAGTTACAATTGGATTTTTTTTTTGTATTCTTCTAATTCTAGGAAGCAAGATATTTTGGTCATTTTACTTGTCTGTGGTCTGGCCTAGTAGTTCGATTTTTAGTTATAGTTTGTGTTTAAAGTTTTGGTGTCACTGGTCAAGTCAATTATGAGTTATGTTGTTTTCTTATGATTAGTGGCAATTCTATAATTTTTATTTTTCCTAGTTCTAGTAGGATTTACACCCCTGTAGTCTCTATATATGCTACTTTAGAGTAAAAAACAAGAGACTGATATTTGTAATGATATTTCACTGACTTTTCTACATGTTGTGCTTATGGTGAGTGATTCCCTTGAACCCTAAAGTGATTCTAGGCGCCTATTGATTGGTTCCAGGTTCTACCTTGTTTCTCTATCTTCTCTTTAATCTGTAAACAGCCATCAACAGGCCATAAGTTCTTCATCAAATGGGTTCAAACAGCATCATTATGGACTAAAAATTGATTTAAGTAAATTTATTCTTCAATTTAAACCAAAACTTGATTTTTTTTTGCTATTTTTGTTGTTTTGTTCCAAACTATCTCCAATTGCTCCAATTTTTGGACGCCCCTATAGATATTCATAACATTTTGGTCCACCAAATCTCATCTTAAAACTCCATCTGGAATGCTAAATTTCATAATTTTCAAGTTTTCTTTAAACACCAAAATATTCATTCTTTTGTGCTAGACATACTCTGAAACACACCAAACTTGGTTGTACTTTACGTCCATCTAGGACAGATTCACAAGCTAGATTTCATTGCAAAATTCCTACTCCTATTTCCTCAAATCAAAACCTTCTACAATTTCGGGACAAATATGCAATTGTTGCAATTATGTCCTGAGACCCTTTAACCTATTCGTTCTCTACATATAGTCTTAAAATTATCTCCAAACCCTCATTGCCACTCTAGTCTTTTCAAAAATCAGATTCTTTGCTTCAGCCTTCAAAAACTTCCTCCATGTTGACTGCTGCTCAAACTCCGTTTTCTTTTCCCTGCCTATAAATCACTGGTTGGATTGGAAGCTTACCTACTGAATTTACAAAGACATGCATAAATACCCACTATCATATTCATACACCAACAGATTACATATAAAAATGATATGTAGACATCATATTATAGTAATATTTTACACTAAACCGCCCTTTATTATCATCCTCTCTCCTTGCCGCTCAAATAAACATACTTATGTGTATAAATCAATATATGTATCATACATAATGTACACTAATAAATAATTATAAGCATAATACATCACGTTTGGATTGCCCAATCCAACCTAACCCTGTTTTCTTTAGGTTGGGCTGGCCCAGCCAAAGTTGCACCCCTACTACGCAACACTTGCTTACGGGAATGCAATGTCTTTGTGATGTGTCATTTAATAAGAAAGAATTCAATATTTAGTTTAAACTTTAAGAGTGCAGATAGCATTTGCTTACAGGAGGGTAACTTTTTTTATCAGGCATGTTTAGATGATTTCACTCATCACAACATTGATGTTGCTTGCAATCTTCTTGAGACATGTGGACGTTTTCTGTATCGATCTCCTGAGACAACAGTGCGCATGGCAAATATGTTGGAGATACTGATGCGCTTGAAAAATGTAAAAAATTTAGATCCTCGCCATAGCACCCTCGTAGAAAATGCTTATTATCTGTGCAAACCACCTGAACGATCAGCTCGAGTTTCTAAAGTTCGTCCACCTTTGCATCAGGTATATATCACTTTCAAGTAATGTGTTTATGTTTGATTATTCATTTCTTCGAGTATATTGTATCCTGTGGTATAATGGACCTATGCATATATTATATTTTGAATTAGATTATTCATTCCCATTTATGTTGTATCCTGCAGTATATCAGAAAACTACTTTTCACAGACCTTGATAAGTCCACTATTGAGCATGTGCTGAGGCAGTTGCGCAAGCTTCCCTGGAGTGAATGTGAAGACTATCTTCTGAAATGCTTTATGAAGGTCCACAAGGGAAAGTATAGTCAAGTTCACCTGATTGCTTCACTTACTGCTGGTCTGAGTCGCTATCATGATGAATTTGCAGTGGCAGTTGTTGATGAGGTTCACTCTTTTCCTCCTTGAATTGTATTGACATCATAGCATGCCCTCTATGAACATGATTCTTATTAGGAGAAATGAATTATTTTTGTGCTTATCAAGTGATTCTTTTCCATGCTCCATGCAAACTGTTTAACACCTAAGTCGTTTCTTCTGGTTGCAGCAATCTAATAGTTTGTTGGTGCAAATTTACCATATATTAAAAATGATTTCAAGAATATAGCTGTTGGAGGGGGGGTCAAAATCAGATTTTTGTTTTATGTATTTGTAGACAATAGGGGGGCATTTTACCCCTTTTTTATATTGTATGTGGGGGTCCAACCTATTTTTTTGTTTTGTCTACTTATAGTTTGCTTATATTTAAACAGTTCCACTGGTTAAGTAGTTTGGAATTTTCAGAATTGTAATTTCAAGTTTTCTTAGATTTTTTAAGTAGTTTATCTGACCCTTTTGAGTGGTGTATTGGATGTCTTGCCCCATTATAGGTTTGCAGGTTGTGTCTCAGTTGGCACTGTCAAGTAAGAGATAATCAAGGGTTTGGAGTCTGCCACCTCCAAATCAACTCAAGTTAAAATTGAATGGGTGCATCTTGGGTAATCCATCTATTTCTGGGATTGGTGAGGTCTTTGGTGATAGCCATGGGGTGGTAGCATTTTTCACAGGACCTATTAGGTTTGGGGACTCTCCAAGAGTAAAGCTGTTAGCAGTCCTATATGGTGCAAGGTGACTCTTGTACAATTAGTGGGCTGGCTTAGAAATGTAGGTGAAGGAACTTGGCAATACTGGCAGACCTTGAGAGAAATCAAGAGCAAAGCATGACAAGTTACAGCCTCAATTGGCTGGACACCTAGATCAACAAACTGCATGGTTGATTCACTTGCAATACAAGGGGCAAGAGGGGGGGGGATGTATTGGGGGGTTACAAATGGAAATTGGTTGTAATAGATGTAAACCGTGATAGAAGGAAGCAGGCGATTATCAGTCCTGAAAAGGAAGAAGACACTTCTACATAAATCATTGCAAATTCTATTCATTTCTCCATTAAAAATGTAAACATTACCAACAAAAAAAAGGAGATTTGATGACCCTAGATGTAAGCTAGTGAATTGGAGATTATTTTCTACTTGTGTGACATTTAATAAGTGATCCCCAAAGACCTAGAGTGATTCTAGAAATTTGAGGATTTTCATAGACCCCCTCCCTCCCAAGATAAGTGTTTTCTCAATTTCCTTAAATTGTCAACTCTTACACAGTTCCTCTGGACACAAACTTCTCTCTCTAAATCATCTTTATCAAACCTTGGAGCAAAGCAATTTTGGTTCAGCCATCCACTGTATTTTAGGTCTGTTTTCATCCCTTTGAAACTCTTAGTTTTCAAATTATATCATTTCAAGAACTCGCATCCTTTTGTGCCAAACCAATCTGAGAACTCTTCTTAATTCAATCCCATTCTTTAGTTACCACAGTACATACTCCTTTAAAACAGTTTGAATAGATTCGGTACCAAATATTTATTTATTTATTTTGTTTTTGCCTCAAAAAATTTCTGCATATTGCTGCAATTTCAATCCCAAATTATCTTCTTAATCAAACCATACAGCCCTATAACCCTAGATAATCTGCCTCTAGCTCTACAGACCTAAACCCTAGATTTGAAATCTTAGTAACATCAATTCTTTTCAGTTTCCATTAAATTTATTACCACTCCAGCCTTGTATCATATGAGTCCAACATCAATTGGTGTCAAAGCTATTGGACCTACATCAGTAGCCCAAGATGAAAATGCTTTGAATTCTTGTACCTAGAGCATGACATTCACTATTTCCTCTTTGTCACTTTTATCTAAGTTATATTTCTACCAGGTATACTAATTTTTATATGTAAGTTGGCTTGCCTTTGTTTCTCATAAATCATAATATGATAGTATGCTTTGTTTTGGGGATATATGTGTGCATGTGTTTATTTTTAACACTTAAGGATTCATGCAGCTTAAGCAAAATATTGCAATAAGGCTCAAAATGTGATGATGATGTGTTTTGTTTTTGGGTTAAAATAGTCAATATTTTTTACTGACATTGTTACAATCACCTGCCTTGACTATTTTAGGTTCTGGAGGAGATCAGGTTGGGGTTGGAATTAAATGACTACGGGATGCAGCAAAAGCGCATAGCTCACATGCGTTTCTTAGGAGAGCTATACAACTATGAACACATAGATTCATCTGTTATTTTTGAAACTCTTTATTTGATTCTTGTCTTTGGCCATGGGACACCAGAGGTATGGGCTTATATCCTTGTTTGTAATCACAACTTGAAGTTCATTTAGAATGCCTCCTAAAACTAAACCTCCAAAATTTAACAATGTTCATTCATAGAAGACTTCACTAGTGTAGCTTTGTCTTTTAGAACTTCATTCTGCATGTCTGATGGATAATATGGGCAATGCATCACTGAAGTTCATGTTGTATAAGCCTGAAGGAAGAGATGAGGTACATGTAAAAGTATATAGAAGAAAAAGTAAATATAAACTAGACCTTTAAGAGTTGGAGAAGAGAGTGAAAAAAAATACAATTCAAAGGCATTTTAGTTAGAGGAAATTGTGAATAGAGAAGTGGAAGTGAATAAAATAATGGGTTTGTTCTTTTGGGGGGGGGGGGGGGAGTTTTACCCTAGAATTTTTAATCTCTCCCAAACCCAACAAGCCATGATGGCCTTGAGCCTTCGCTCCTCACCCTCGGGAACCAATTGGAACCTAAACCTCAGAAGGCCTTAAGAGGGGTAGAGATTGCTGAAATAACAAACTTGCTACTCTCTTGGTGAGATCTACATCTCTCTTGCTATCCCTGACCAAAGGATTTGGAAACTTAATCATGCTAGCAAGTTCTCCACTAACAACTACTTCAAGGCTCTAGTGTCGGAAGATCAGGGCTCACCTTTTCCACTATGTTTGCCCTCTTTGCCTCAGTAACAGAGAGACAGCTGAACACCTTCTCCTTCATTGTCCTGTCACTAGGGGTGGATTCGAGCCCAGCCCAGCCCAGCCAAGCCGAGCCGAATACTTGGGCTATTTGAGCTCAACTCGCCGGATTAGTATCAAGCTTGAGCTTGAGCTTGAGCTCGGCTCAGTTCATAGCTCACAAGTTTGAGTTCAGCTCGACTATAAGCCAAGCTTTTTTTTTAAAATAAAAATTATATAGCTCGTAGAAGGCTCGGCTTGTGGCCACCCCTACCTGTCATGAGGAAGGTGGGGTGTTATTTCCTCAACTTAGTGGGATACAGCTGGGTGTTTCTGGAGTAGGTGGTGGACCTCTTGTGGCAATGGAAAGGCAAAGGATTAGGAAAAAGATCTAATCCTAATTTCCTACATTATTTTTTATGTAACCTTAGGGTGGTTAATTCAGGAGTTATCAAAGGCTTTTCCTTAAATGATCTTCAAAGAAATATAGGAGTCCTATACTCCTCCCCAAGGACTGATACAACCAATAGATGTTATACTAGAGAGGAAGGAGTGATGTCACTAAACTTTGATGGTAGTGCCCAAGGATCTATAGGTCGAGCAGGTATTGGGGGTGTAATCCAAGGGGAAAGGGCGAATATCTGTTGGGCTTTCAGTGGTTCGATTGGGAGGGCAGACTCTACAAAGGCAGAGGTCTTGGCTGCGCTGACAGGAATTTGGTTTGCCAAATGGTTAGACTTGTCCTCTCTAACCATTGAAGGTGATTCTACAAATACTATAGCATGGTTTAAGGAAGAAGGAAAGAGGGCCTTGGAGGCTAGCACACTTGCTGGCTGAAGCCAGAGATGTCTTGGACTCAATGAATGTGAAGCTGGTTTGAATTCCTATGGGGAGCTAAGCACTTTTTTTTTTTTGATAAATGATTAAGCATCCCTTTAAGAGGTGTGAGTTGCAACCTCCCCCAAATTTAGAACAAAAGAAACAGATTAAAGCAAATTACAGCTGAGCCCAGTAAAGTATCCCTATTGTCCCAGTGTACTCTTACATTCATGTCCCTTGTATACCATTTAATTTTCTTGATTTCGTTCCTGTAAAATCAGGGAACAGAATTTGTAGTCATCCCACCACCACCTTGGAATCTCCTATTATCAAATTTACTAGGCTAAGCTGGTGAGCAATCTGAATTACTTGTAATGCAGCAAGCAGTTCCGCCCTAGTAGAATCTCCTTCCCCCACCGGTCCCGAGTAAAGTGTCAAGATGTTCCCAACCTTGTTTCTCACAACCCCACCTACACCTAACCTTCTGAGAACTGCTATTTGCTATCTCCTTCCAGTTTCTTCAAAGATTGACAAAGGAAAACTGATGAAAACAGTCCACAATTTTTTACCAATGTATCACCCTGCACTTCACACACCTTGAATTCTTGTACGCTTCTTTCCTTTTCCTGAAAAATTCTTGCATTTCTCTCTTCCCAAAGAGACCAAATCAAAGCTGCTCTTGTAAGCCTCCACATTATCCTTCCTCCTTTTCTGGCCCACACAAAGGTAAATGGTTCAAATAACAAACGTAACTCTGAAGGGAGATTCCACCTGCACGCAAACAAAGAGAGCAACTAATCCCACAATTCAGCAACAAAAGAGCAGGAAATAGATAGGTGAAAGCAATCTTCTCCATTAGATTTGCAGAGAGTGCACCAACAAGGGGATAAGCATTGATTGGGTCTTCGGTTTTGCAGATTATCCAAGGTGTTTACCTTCCCATAGAAAACTTCCCAACAAAGAGCATTAACTTTAGGGGAATAGACCTACACCAAACTAACTCTTTGAGTGTCTGATTTCTGTGTACATGTCCTCATGTACCTTTCTTATTTCGAATAAAGTTAACCTTTTCTCAAAAAAAAAAAGACCTACACCAAACTTCCTTGATGGGAAACGCTTGAGGGTCAGGGGATTGACAAAGAAACTTGAAGAAGGAAGCACACGACAAGAATCCCTTAGGGTTAGGAGACCACACGTCTGGAGAAAGGGGATCCAAACAGATATTATGAAGAGAAAGCAAGAGCTCGGTCACAGCAGCACACTCTTCCTCCCTTAATCCTCTATGAAAGCCAAAAGGCCCAATTCAGACCCAAGGGAGCTAAACACTGTTACTGATAGCCTAGCAAAGTGAGGGGCTTTTAGAGAAAATTTGTTTACTGACAGTTATTTGCCTTTGTAATTCTACCTCAGCATCTTCAGGCTGCTGTACATCATCTCATGTACCCTTTTTTAGTCTCTTCTTAATAAAAGTTAACTTTGCTCAAAAAAAGAGTCAAGAAAGGTATTTAAAGAATTGGAGGTGAAAGATTGGAAAAAAGATGGATTGAATAATGAAGTGGCTGGGTTCTATTTAGGGTTTGACTTTCAAGGAGTTACAAGAAAGACTGAAATTTTCTAGAGTTGAGGATGATGACAAAGAGGGTGCAAAGGTGGTTGCAAATCAGATAGTTGAGAAGAATGCAGTCTTCAAGTTAGAGAGGCTTAATGGAACTTCTAAGGAGCCAAAGGAGCGTTAGAAGACTCCTACTGCAGTAAGACGTTTTAGAGGTCCGAAGAATCATTAAACTGTTCAGGTCTCAAAAGTTTTTGCCAGACCAAAGGGGAGTTTGTTTGGGATTGGGCCTTCAAGAGGGTGAAAAAACAAGATTTCCAAGAAAAGCAAAGAAATTTCGGTTCAAGCTGGAGGAGAAGCTAAGTAATTAAGTAGTTTTATCTTGTGCTGTGATGGGGTCAAGAATTATGAGGATTGGGTCAAGAGGTTTATCTGGAGGTTGAAGTTGCTGTAGGATGGATGGGTGTCAGTGGTTGTTTGGATGTAATCAGTGGTCTTTTTTTTATGGGTAGGAGAGGTGTTTTGGAATGCTTCTTTGATGGTAAAATTGAGGGTTTGGTGTAAGGTCTTTATTTTCTTCCCTCTGGTGATTTCTGGTCAACCTTTCTTGTACCTTCTTTTTACTTTTAATGAAAAATTTTTATTACCAAAAATATGTTTTAAAAGATGTATAATGCTTATGCTTCATGTTCATTCACTTTTTTGAATTAATCAAATCCATTTATCTACTATTAATTTACTACAAAAACAGCTGTGCTAAAGCCTAAATGCAATGCAAGTATGATGTCTTCGTAACCAGAAAAACAAGCAAAACAGAACTACAAAATGATGGGAACTTGAATCTGTATACACGAAAATGCCAGTTAATATTTGCTTTCTGGCCCACTTTCATACTGAAAAAAGAGGCGAGGTATTGAATGATTGATTGTATCAAGAAGTAATTAAAGGGGAGTAATTTGAGCATATCCAATTTTTGATAAATGAGGCACATCCCTAGTAAAAAGAAAAAGAAACTACAATTGGTTATGATAGAAAAAATATAATGATTAGGGATGTGCTCTGTTTGTAAAAAATGGGATGTGCCCAAATTACTTGCAGTGCAGCATATGGTCACAAATAAGTGGAGTCGTCAATACTGATTACATTGCAGGCAAATAGCTCCCAAATCCTTCAATGTAGAGGGTATCACCCAATGTTGTTTCCTGATAACAAGGGTCTTGGGAGGGGTGGACTAGATATGAACCTGATCTTTGGCATTTTTTACACAAAGTGGCCACTCTCAGACTTGAACCTGTATTTTCACAATTGTTAGAGATTTTACAATTGCACCAAGCAATGACCCTCACCAAATCACTTCCAACATGCATAAGAGAAATTTTTTGGTGATTAAAGCCCAAGTAAGATTTTTGGAACCACTAAACACATTAAAAATCAGTATTAATTTAAAGATTGTTATATCATCTTCCGGTTCAACGTTTGATATCTTCAAATTTATTAGAAATGCATGATTGGATTAAGCAATAGTCTTGATTTGCATAAGATGCTTGCACTTCGATCGGATCCCACAACTTAGGACAAGGTGGAGAATTTGATGGGATTCTATCTGAATGCATGCATATGCGGATATACTCTTGCACATTTAGATGTTAGATGTAGGACAAGGTGGAGAATTTGATGTTTGACACATTTAAAAAACCATTCATGTAGATATTATGCCTATGGGTCAATGCATTGGCAAAATACCATGCTTTGTAAGTAGTACATGTATTGTCTGCTTCATTTAGGAATGATTGATGTCAGTGCAAGTGTTTGTGTCTCATCATTTGGTGTACAAAAGTGCAATTTATGGTAAAGTCTGAGCATTCAAACTTGTTTTTTTTCCCCTGGGTACTGCTTCCCTAATAGCTTTCTAAGTCTTCTCCCATCATGTTGTTTACTCAACTAATAATTTGCCTATTATGTGTGATCTGATGGATAATTGCTATTTTTCCTTTTTTCCTATTCTAAAGCAAGATGTGCTCGATCCACCAGAAGATTGTTTCCGCATCAGGATGGTCATTACGCTTCTGCAGACATGTGGGCACTACTTTGACAGAGGTTCTTCCAAAAGGAAACTTGACAAATTCTTGATATATTTCCAAAGATACATTCTCAGCAAAGGTTCAATACCTCTTGATATTGAGTTTGACCTTCAGGTTAGAGGTGCTACTTTGTTATTACTAGTTCTTCTATATGTTCCTTTTATAGAATCGTGTTCTCTTGCAGCTAGACTACATTTTGGGAGAGCTGAGCTAGGCTAACTGGTGCACCCAATTTAGGAAAACAGCAGCATTTAAAATTTATGCACATAGTAGGCCACTCTTGGAGATGTGTTTCAAATGCTTTTATTATTGCTTGTTGTTAGTAGCTTCAATTTTATCATTTGGGTATTAGCTTCTCATTTTCTCTTGTAACTGTTAGGGGTCCATCTCTGAAGTTCCATTTATGGAAATCCTATTTATAACATGGATCTAACGGACACATTGGAAATTTGCAGGATCTTTTTGCAGATTTACGCCCAAACATGACCCGATATTCATCTATTGAAGAAGTTAATGCAGCTCTTGTAGAACTTGAGGAGCATGAGCGTGCAGTCCCGACTGACAAGGCCAACAGTGAGAAGCACTCGGACACTGAGAATCGGAAGGCACCGGGTCACACAGGCTCCAATACCATCTCAGAAAATGGGCAAAGCCCTACAAATGAAATTGAAGAAAATGGTAGAGGTCATGTAGATGCAGGAGACAGTGAGAGTGACTCAGGAAGTGACAGCATTGACCGAGAGGGTCATGATGACGAAGAAGAGCTTTATGAGGATAAATCAGAGGTTCAGGATGATGGATGTGATAGTGATGAGGATGATGATGATGGTGGTGCACCAGGTGCTTCTGATGAAGATGATGAAGTCCAAGTCAGACAGAAAATGGTTGCAGTTGATCCACAGGAAGAAGCTGACTTTGATCGGGAACTTAGGTCTATAATGCAGGAGAGCTTGGAGTCACGCAAACTGGAGATACGTGCCAGGCCAACCTTGAATATGATGATACCCATGAATGTGTTTGAGGGGTCTACTAGGGATCATCATGGAAGAAGTGTCGAGGGGGAGAGTGGGGATGAGACAATGGATGAAGAGGGTGGTGGAGGGAACAATAAGGATATACTTGTAAAAGTGCTTGTGAAACGAGGGAACAAGCAACAAACAAAGCAGATGTTCATTCCCAAGGGTTGCTCACTGGTGCAGAGTACGAAACAGAAGGAGGCGGCAGAGCTTGAAGAGAAACAGGACATCAAGAGGTTGATATTAGAGTATAATGACAGGGAAGAGGAGGAGCTTAATGGTGTGGGGTCCCAGACGATGAATTGGATGCAGACAGGGGGAAGCAGGACTTCCACCCGTGGCGGCACATCTGATGGAACTGGTGGAAGGTCAGCTGGAGTGCGGCAGCGGCAGCATTACCATTCAGGAGGTGGAGGCCTATATTATGGCAGAAGAAAGTGAACTACTTGAGGTTTACCAAATTGGTAAGGTCAAATTTGATATTTGCCATTTGGAAGAAACCCCCCACCCTCAGTAGATTTGTGTTTTTCACCCTACATGATGATGGTAGTATTTTTCCTTTTTCTTTGGGTGAGGGCTTTTGTACTAGCAGAGGAAGTTCTTTGACAGTTTCAGTGAGTGAAATTTGAATGGGGGGGGTTAGTGTGTATGATTCTTCTAACCCACACCGACTCTAAGGAGACTTTTTGTATTATCTTTCGTGTATATACATGTATATGCAAGTTTGTTAAGGATGTTACTATTCAGTCATCATTCAAGTTGTAAAAGTTTTTGGTACGCGCCCAATGTAGTGCCATTTCACCTGTACCCCATGTATCGGCCAATGCATGCATTGTATATTTGTATACAATACGATATTGAATCCCTATTTAATGCTCATCGTTGTCTTCAGTTATTTCCTATTTAACTCTTACGGTTAATCCATATTACTCTTCTTATATTTTGGGTAAAAGACTTAAAATATGCCCTCAGTTTTCATAAATAGACATGAATATACCGAGTTTTTCAAATAGACTTAACAATACCTTATGCTCATAAAAGACCTATTTTATTTTTACCCTTCATCATTCTTTAAATTTTTAAAACTAACAAAAACATCATTCATCATGTCCAAAACATCACCATTTGAATACTAGTTAATTCACACGGTGAACAGATTAATTTGTCCAAAATATCATCTCCTTCAGCAATGAAAACAGCTGATCACCTCTCTCTCTCTCCACCTCTCCTTCCTCTTCGCCCATCTGTCTTCTTTTCTGTTTGTTCCTTCAACCTACAATTTGCCATCATCACCCAACTGCATTCTGCTATTACCCTCAACCACCTGTCCCTTATCTTAAACTGCCTCTCCCTCTCTACTATGCTATTCATCCACCGGCCCTCAATTTTAATTCAAATCCATCCAATGTTTTTTCTTCTTTCTGCTACACCATATCAACCGCTGGCCCCACTTGATCCAGTTGTATATGATTGTTATTCTACAACACCGAAGTTGATCCACGCAAGCTTAATAGAAAGCTCTAGTTTCTACATCTTGAACCAATTGCCCACATCTACATGACAAAGATTTAAGATGTATACCTTCTTTCCTCTATGCTATGTATTGTGAAGACTAGTAGTTGCCAAAATAGAGTATATTGTTTAAAAGTCTTTTATTTTCAAAGGGTAAAATTGGATTTTTAAAAGAGGAGAAAAAATGAGTATGTTTGAGTCAATTTATGAAAATTTAGGATATGTTTAAATCTTTTACCTTTTTTTTTATGGAGGGGTATTAAGTAGACTTGGGTTGGTGGGTTGGGTTTGAGTTGGGTCAAGACACTTTGGGTTGGGTTGACAAATACTAGACCTTAACCCTAAATGTTTGGGTTAGGGTTGACCCATGAGTCAATTCAGGCCATCCCCCCCAAAAAAATGACATTTTAAAAAATAAAGAAAAATACATAAAAAATGCTAAAACTAAAAGAATTAACCTTAAAATTCCAAAAATAAAATAAAAAACTTGAAAATTTAACAAATAAAAGAGTAAACAATAAAGACTAAATTGTAAAGATCAAAGAGTGGAAACTTCTAACAAAGTAACAATACATAAATAGTCACAATTAGACCTGACAATCAGGTCAACGGGCCGGGTTGGCCCAACTTCTTTCTTATTCTAAATGTTCTTATTTCATGTACTCATGGATTGAGGTCAATTCAATTTTATTATTATTATATGTAAAATGGCATAGCAATTGAAAAGGGGAAAATCTATGATACCAAGAAGACGTGATACCAAAAGACCTTTGACCAATCAAAGCACTCCTATGAATTTTGATGAAGATCACATGATTCATTACCTCTTTTATGATACCGGGTGATTGGCTGTAAGCTTTTCCGGTATCATGTCTGTTTGGTATCATGGTTGAACCTTTTGAAAAGTTTTGCCTTTAAAACTTAAAATTGTTGGTATACATACAATAATACATAAATATATACATGTATGTGACATGCATACATACAAATATTACATAATTACTTTACTAAATGCTTACAGAATTTTTATACATACAAATACGAAGCAGTCGGGGTTGGGTTGGCCAAGGCCTCAACCCTAAACCAATCTAATGTTAAGTTCATATTTTTCAACCCTCATCCTAAACCGAACTTCAATTCGACCCAACCCAATTTGGCTTTTTCGGGTTGGCTTGGGATTAACCCAACCCCAATTGTAGCCTTAGGTTTGTGGCATTTATAAAATTTTTCCTAATATACATCCAAATCTTTTTTACCATATCTACATGTGTATACATACTTTTTGTGATACCGATATTTTAAACCTTGTCTGTATTATGTAAAATTATGAATTCGTGATTTGAATGAATTCATCAGATTTTTCACCATAAAAGCAAAATTCAAAAAAATAAAAGAACGGAAGAGATTCATATCAAAATTATGAATTCGTGTTGTTTTTCTGCTACTTCTCGGACAAACGAAAGCCTTCTGCCTTGTCATCCAATGGCCATTGCTTCATCACCCCATTACTATATTATGTTCATCTTTTTCTCTTCTTTCGGGATCAGCCCAAATATTTTTTAAGAATCTTAATCCATACTATTATAGGTTTCTTTGTGTCCTTTGCCTTCTTAACCTACATTTAGAAAGCCCTTTTCTCTTTTTGAACTTCTAAAGAGTTAATAAATGACAGTCCCCATTTCTTTCTACTTTACTATTGTTTCAATGTAAAATGAACAGAAACATTTTATTATGATGAAACGTTTGGTTTATATATGATGAGGACTTCGTTTTCCTAACAAATTAGAAGGGCAGAAAAACAACACTTTCAAGACACAAGAATAATAGCTGAAGTATTTCAATCTTATTTTTTGGTTACAGAATAATCGTGTTCAATAGTGTTAAATGGTCTTTTGGTTAAACGTCTAAACGCACTTGTCAACTTTTAACATTTGTCTTAGTTTCCTAGAGATGATCTCCACTGTATATACATTCATCACTAAATTAAGAAGTCATTTGGAGAATTGTCTTTCAACAGTTGTATGAGAATAATGGTCGAATTGATCTATTCGACTTTGATTAATGATATTTATAGAGTTACAAAGATAAGCAAGTCCTTGCTTAGGATGGGTTAGATGAAACCTAACTAGGATAGAGCTTATCTCACTATGATAAGTTTATCCTTTACAAAGGTAATCTACAGAGATGAGGATTATCTATAAGGGAGAAGTACAATAGAAGAGGTAATTACAATGTGAGTTGGAGAGGGAGTCTACAATATGATAGGGGAGAAGGAGTTCCACTCGTAGACACCATACGTGCATGCGCATATGCGCATTATCGTTTACACCCCCCCCCCTCAAGTACAGTTGGGGGAGCCACAGTGAACTTGTGACGGAGGATCTCAAATTGTGGAAGACCAAGAGGTTTAGTGAGAATATTTGCGATCTCATCCGCCGAGGGTATGTATCGTACATCAAGGAGTTTAACCGCAACTTTCTCCCAAATGAAGTGAATATCCAACTCGATATGTTTGAAGCGAGAATGAAGTGCAAGGTTGTTAGAAAGAAATTTAGCTCCCATGTTGTCACACCATATCAAAGGAGTCGTAGAGAGGGAGACACCTAATTCTTGGAGGAGCATGTGAAGCCATAAAGCTAAGCTGCAATATTCTGATTCAGTGCTGGATCGTGCCATTATAGGTTGCTTTTTAGAACTCCAGGAAATTAAGTTAGGACCAAGAAATACACAATATCCACTCTGAGAGTGTCGATCCATAAGACAGCTTCCCTAATCAGCATCAAAGTAAGCAACAAGAGAGAAGGTACGACATGGTTGAAGAAGTAAGCCATAAGTGATTATACCTTTCAGATAGCGAAGAATCCTTTTGCAGCTTGCCTAGTGGACCATAGTAGGAGATTGCATGAACTGGCATACCTTATTTACAGCAAAGGCAATTTCTGGATGAGTAATAGTAACGTACTAAAGAACACCAACAATGCTACGAAAGAAAGTGGGATCAGTAAGCGGTTCACCTTCTGACTTGGTGAGACGAGCAGAGGCAAACATAGGAGTGGAGAGAGGTTTGGCATCATGAAGTTGTGCTCGATGTAGAAGATCATCAATATATTTGTGCTAAGAGAGATGAAGACCATGTGATGTTCTATGAAGCTCAACACCAAGAAAATAATGTATAGAGCCCAAATCACGAAGAGAAAACTGAGAGGCAAGATTCTGAATGAGAGTGTTAGTGGCAGATGAAGATGAGCCTGTAATGATAATATTATTCACATAAATAAGAATTAAAATGATGTCAGAACTAGAACAAAGGTAAAAAGGGAGGCATTAGCCTGGGATTCAAGAAAACCGAGAGAGAGAAGAAATTCACGCAGCCTGGTAAACCATGCACAAGGTGCCTGTTTCAATCCATAGAGAGATCGCTGGAGACGGCAGACATGTGTTAGAAATCTAGGATCAACAAAACCAACCGGTTGCTTCATATAGATTTCTTCTGAAATGTTACCATGTAAAAATGCATTGCTGATGTCCAGTTGGCAAACATCCCAATTAAAGGAAACAACAAGAGAGAGCACTATGTGAATGGTAGCTGGTTTGACTACAGGACTGAATGTTTCATCATAATCAAGGTCTGCTTCCTGTGAGAAGCCTTTGGCAACAAGGCGTGCTTTGAAACGTTCAACCGAACCATCAGGCTTGCACTTGATTTTAAAAACCCATTTGCTCCCAATAATATTTTTATCAGATGGGGCTGGGACAAGGGTCCAAGTGTTATTCTGAAGCAAGGCCTTATACTCATCAATCATGGCAAGAACCTACCGATGATCCTTATGAGCTTGAGAATAACAAGTCGGCTCAGATTCAGCAAGGGGACTAGCAAGTAAGGCATACCTCGGATTTGGCTTGAATATACCATGACAAGCTCGAGTGGTCATCAGATGTAAGGAAGAAGAAGGTGGTAAAGCAGAATCAGTGGATTCAGTAGTGGAAGATGAGGGCGTAGCATCCTGAGGGGACACGATGGGGAAGATGAGACTTCACCCGGAGAACCAATGTCTGAAGCAGCAACAAGAGGAGGAGCCCCAACTAGAGGAGGTGGGGTCAACGATGGTGGTGATGCAGTAGTCGCATGATGAAGAAAAGGAAAATGTTCCTCATTGAAAATAATATTGCGAGAAGTAAAGACCCGTCTTGTAGGCTAATGCAGACAAACGTAACCTTTGTGAGAATTAGAATACCCAAGAAATACACATGAGAGGGAGCGAGGTTGTAACTTGTGCTTGTTATATGGTCGAACATGAGGAAAACATTCACACCCAAAGGCACGGAGTTTGAGGTAATCCGAAGGATGCCCAAATAATTTCTCAA